GTCAAAACTTGCGACGCGCCGACGGCGGCAGCGATGAAATAAAGCGAATTCTTTCCCTGTCGCAAGAATTCACCACTTGCGCCTAACCACCCCGGGAAACCAGGTGGTGGATGGCGAACATGCGCGTGGGTGAGCGAGGTCGAGGGCGGAAAAACGTCCGCCTTGATTAACTTATATAACACGCGATAAATTCTATTCCTTCTCGTCTCGCCTTCAAGACGAGCGACGAAACAAATTCACTTTAGGCACGCAAGAAACAACATTAATATGCATTTTGCCACAAGCAAAAAAGTTAAACTACTAAAGGGGGTTATTTTTTATTTTTTCGGCAAAATACACAAACTTCACAGCTTTTACAATTTATAATGATGTATCAGTATTTTTGATCGATCATACCTTTTTGTATGATATTTATGACAAAAAAGAAAAAAATTGATTTTTTTTCAATTTTAGTTAATTTAAGTTATTCTTAAATAAAATAAACCTTTATTATTTAAGATTCAATAATTTCCCGCCTTAGATTTCAATTTCAAGCAAAACAAATGTTCCACGTCAAATGTTGATTTTACTTCGTGCCTTTAAAAAAAATTCCCTCCCGTCCGTTCCAATCTCTCGAGAGCATTTAGATTTTTCGAAAATCGTCGCCGTAAAACGCGGCGTTTTTATTTTTCCTCCTCCGCGCGTATGGAAATCGTGTAGCTTTCGGCGTAAAAAACGCCCCTACGCAGCAAAACCGGGCGAAAACACGCCGAAAGAAAATCAAATAACGACGAAAAGCGCATGCAAATACACAGGACGCAGGATGACGACAACGTCGACGGACCCAAGGACGCGCAGCGAAACGAAACGGAACCGAGTCCGCCGCCGCCGTTGCCGCCGAGAACCCATGTCGCTAATGTTTGCTCTTCGGTTTCGAAATTCGCAAAATTGCGCGATGTGCGCGCCGAAGACGAGTCGAATCCTTGTGTTTCCGTGTTTCAACATTTCGGCGGCCTGCTTTGCATGCGCGCCCAGCGCGTTTAATGTTTAACGTTTGTCGTCTGTCCTTTTACATCCCACTCACTACAAACCACCCGCCCGCCATCACACAACATACGTTGTGCTGGCGCAGTCAGCGGGTTGCGCATTTGTCCCACTCAATTTTTCATGATTTAATGTTACTCCACGCAGATTCCAAAGATTAGAGCTTTTCGGGTTAAAACTGCGTTTCAATTTTGCATGCGCGCTCCGCTTTCAACAAATGCCTTAAAAGGGTGTTTGCAATGTGCGGCGAGCAATTAGAAAACTGTCAGTTACATTTGCCGGGAACCTCCCCAAACGTGGTGCTTTTATCCTTTTTCATGTTTTGTGTTTTCGGACATCCGGAAAAGCGCGTTTTTTGTGCACTGCGCTGTCCATACTTCTATTCTCGCATGTTGCCACCGATTCTATAAGCTTTTTGTGTATTTGCGGTTTTTGTCCGCGTGGATTTTTTCTTATAATTTGTGTTTGGAATGATTCTGACGGCTAGCAACTTCATTTTCGCCATGGAATGAAAACGTTTTTTTCTCGCTAGTTTTTCCTATATATTTCGATGTGTGTGATATACGTGTGCATCGAGTGTTGTCGAGCGGAAAGCTCAGGGATGATGAAAGGCTTTCGGGCGCTAGGGCGCGACCTTCGAGGGTCGTGTCCTCGTGTACCGGGGATCGCACAACCTCTACAACCTTCCACGTCGCTTCGCATTGGGGGAGGAGAGTTAATTATTAATTAAAAACCAATCGCTTGTCGATTATTCATCAAAGCACCTTTAGCGCCTCGTTGACGACAACGTTTACCTAATTTCGCAACACTTGCAAAAGGCTCAAAGGCTGTGTTTTTAACAAAAACTAAAATGTGCCTCAAACACCGTTTATATATAATTATTTTCCACTCATGCCGGCGACAACATGTCAATTTATATTCATTTACTCCTTTTGTTCATCGTTGCTCATCGCATAATTATTTATTTATTATTATTATTATCACATCGCTCGCCTGGAGTAATATATTAGTTTATCCTGTTGGCTGCGTCACATCTTCAGCCTTCACCCGCCATTTAATCCCGTCTTTCCGCACTCTGCTCATCCCGGAGAAATAATGCGGTTCGATGCAAGTGACACTCGCATGTCGGGGCGCGCACGATGTCATTGTGTGGGCGCTGTATGCATTTTCGAACGCATTGAAAGGAAATTCGAGCTGGTTGCGCGTCACCGTTGCGCATTCACGGCACGTCAACCGAATTTAATATATTCCTTTATTCCATCAGTTTATTATTCATTTCGTAAATAAAAACAACACCAAAACAACAACGCAACAATCAAATAGAAAAACAATATTGATAAATCATAGTTTATGACTGATATGAAGTAAAATAACAATAATTTTAATATTAAATAATTAAAAAACAACAAATTAGTAGAAATTTCCATTTTTAAATTTCGACGAGAGTAGCTCGTGCGATGTTAGCAGTTCTTTTTTCGTGTTTGTTGCATAGACGAGTTTTGTAAAGCTTATTAATATTCGCATCTGATTAACCGATGCCTCGACGTGCCTTGCTCCGCAATCGCTTCATGGTCGAGCCGGTTTTCGATATTCGCTTGCGTAGAAAATTAAAAACTCTTTAAAAATTCACTCGCGCACGTCTAAAAATAAAAACAAAAACTACCAACTTGCCTCCAGCAAGTGTTGCAATCAATACTACCCTTTCACACATTAAACTTTCGAACCAACTTGTTGCTAATTGCAATAATTAGTAGAAATTAAGGGTGGTAATAAAAACGCATCGTTAAAACTTTGCGCTATCAACGTGCAAATGTAGGTAATCCTAGAATTTCGGGTGGAAATTAACGATGATTAGTCGTATTTGCAAACAACTACATTAATTATAATTAAAACTCAACTACAATGAAAATTTCAACATAAAACAAATGAAAAACTAAATTTAGAGGTTAATAAACAATAAAAAACAATTTTTGAAAATTTATTTAAATTATAACATCTATAATCCCGGTTTGAGCACCAATAACCGTAACCATAACCTCACTTCAACTCAGAAGCGTTTCCCACTTTAATTTTCGCAAATTTCCACTCCTAATCCTCTTCCCCAGCGCGAGTAAAACTAGTTGTTCGAATCTATTTGCGATCGAATCCGCATGCACATTACATTCGCGTGGGTCGTGGACCACCGCCGATGCCAAGGTGTGCGCGGTGTGGCTTAACCGATGTCTGTACTTGTTGCTATACTGATCCACTAGTGCAATAGTTAAGTTAGCAATGTTGGTTGTTGCTAACTGTTTGGAAACTCAGTAATTTCCCAGCCAACTAATGATCAACTCAACTCAACTCCACACACTACCTGAAGTCCCAAGTCGCAAGTTTTATTTAATTGGCTTCCATCATGTATCGACAATCAATACCGCGTGTAATTAATACATAAATGCAAATCTGCGTAAAAATTGCGCGCAAGTGGGTTGGAAACCCGAGCGCGCGTTGTAATTTTCCAATTATTGTTAATTATCATGATTAGAGACTGCATTAGAAACTTTATAATCATGCATCAAGATGGAAATTTATTGCTAGTTCTTAACTAAGCATAAAAAATTTAAAAAAGCAAAAAAAAAAATTAAAATTTTTGTAATAAATTTGATCGATATTTACCGATAGATTTTTTAAAATTGTAAACAATATGTTTAGAAACAATTATCACTTTGATATGAACACAATACATGACGCATTCTTCTTTTTTTATGTATTTACCCACACTGATTATGTACATATTATGTCGAGATATCTATTTCGGTGCTAATTATCTATTTTGTTCAAAGTTTATTTGCTGAGCGTTTAGTGTGTGCACTTGACTGGAGCGGTTGTCAAGCCGTCATATTTAGATGATGATTACCGCTGTTATCAATGTAAGTAAGTGCTTACAATGTTATTATTATGCCAGGTGAACAATCTGGCTTTATGCTATTTCTATGAGCGATTCTTTGTGCTCCTGTTATCTTATTTTGACGGCACACAGCGATGTAAACACCGTCGATCAAACACAGCAATGTTTATCACGTCAACAATGTGAATTTATTTAATTTTACACTCAAAAAGAGAAAAAAAGAACGCAAATTGTGTAATTTATGCATGAGTAATACGAAAAATAATTATTCAGCTTTTCAGTGTGCATGCACGCAGCAGCAAATTGAATTATTCAATAATTTATTCAATTTTACATTCGAGCGGTTTCAATTTTTATGAAAATGAAAATTTCTTTGAATTTGATTACGAATGCATCCAATCGAAAAGCTGCATTTAAATTAAAGAAACGTTATGAATATATATCAATAGAAAATATGTTTACGAAATGATTACGTTTGAGGCAACGCGAAACTTTTGTAATGATTGCTCATTACTCATATAAAGTGAGTTTTCCTTGTGAAACGTACCTTGGAAACACGCTCTCTTAACTCTCAGTTATACGGTTTTTCTTTTCACAAAGTCCTTCTTTTTCCTTGGCGAGGAGTGGAATGTAAACATTACGCTGTGCGTGCCGTGTGGTGGTAATTTTATACATTTATTTTTTTCACAGCATTTTACCATCACTAAATTTCCGCGCGCGCGGCTTGTTCCTTCGCCTCCAGCTTGGAAAAGCCAAAGCGGGAAAGCCGTTAGGCGGCGGCGGCGGCTATGTATGCCATCATAAACATTTTATTATGTATCATGTTGCACGCAGGCACGGTCTATATATTTAGTTTTATCGCGCACGCGGAAGGAAGGCCGTGGTAAAGGACTTTTTACGCGTGTTACGCGCTTCCTTTTACTTTCGTCCTGGCGTTATTTACTTACATTTATCTTTTGAACAGTTTGAACGAATGCTATTTATGTGTTATTATTTTTTTAGCTTCGGGTGATTTTTATTTTTTATATATTTTTATATTCAATTTTCTTTATGCGCAAAATGGCGTTTGATTAATATTTGAAAAACTTACCCTTTCGAGACATTCCTGCCCGATGGCCTTGGAATCAACCGCCACTTCGACGACCACGGAATTCGCCTGAGTTATAAGACAATACATCTTGTTCTTGTTGCTGCCTTGTTCCATCATGATTGTCGCGTTGTTATCCCACCGATTTCACACCGCAAAAGTTCCGTACTCACAATCTTTGAATAAAATATGCGTCCGCACCAACTTTTCTGCAGTTAAACTTTCAACTTTGTGTGTGTTTTTTTTCGGGTGTTTTGTTTCGCTTGTTTAAACTTGTTTAACTTTGAATTTTGTTTCGTGAAAAACTTTGAACAACCTTCAACTGTTTTAATAAAAATTTGTTACGGTTGTGTTGTGATATTGTTTCTATTCCTCTTCTATGTTAAACACACTGTGGAAGCCGTCGTCGGCGTAAATGCTTCCGACGTTCGTCCTGCTTGTCCTGCTGCTCCTGCCGCGCGGCGTATCGTTCATTCGTCGCGTGCGACCGTCCGCTTCCGTTCTCACGCTGTGCGCTAATGAAGGCTCGTCGACAACGAGGAGCCTAAACGATGTGCACATTTTACTACCCACCCGCGAATTGTCACAAGCTGTTATCTCAAAACAGAGGCGAGGATATATTTCGACGAGCACGTTTTTGGTCGAGCGTTGTGTTTTGACTGTACTGCGCGCACGATAGTTGCGTTGCGTATGAATCGAACTCGAGCTCGACGTGAGTTTTTGTTCGCGTAGCGTAAACCGCTCAGACATACGTTCACATCCGTACACTATGTCTATCTCTGTCTAATTTGTAGTGTCTGTAAATAAACGTAGGTTAGAAAGCAATAATCGACATTGCCAAACAGCTGGTCGACAGCTTATCGGTCATGATTCTAGTGTTATCAGCTGAATTACGCGCAGACAACGTGACGACAACTTTGAGAAGCATAATCGAGAAGGTAATAATTAAATGTATATCAATGTTTATAAAGAACAGATTGAATATAACGCGATGTCTTTGTTTCAAAACAAAAATGTTGATTTGAAATCGAAAGTGGGGTTAAATGATATTTTGCAGACGTAAGCTAGGCAACCAAACATACAAAACAAAATTGGTTATATTTAAACCAAAATCAACAAGAAAAATGTTTGCAAGTTATCAAGGTCGTTAAAAAATGTGTTGCTAGGAAAAGTTTATCGATATTTTGCATAGTTTATAGTTTGTATTCGTATCTCGTGACGCACGCAATCATTCATAGTAATAATTTTAGGTCACGAAATTATTTGCAAATTAAGCGGATTATTCCGCTCGGATATTTTATTTAACATAAAATTAATTATAACTCGTTATAAGATACGATTGCCTTGAATATTCATTCTGTTGTTAATGTTTATCTTAACTTGTCTCTTGGCTTCTTCCTTGAATGCCTCAGCATTGGCTTTCTTTTCAATTCTCCTCTCTTTTCTGTAATCTTTGAGTTCTTTCTTTCTGATATTTCTTTCTTCGGGAGTTTCCCCCTTTGGTCTAATTGACAGCGTCGACAAAGTTGGATAAACGCTCTGTGCTCAAACCGGATTTCTGCTCCACTTCCCCTGACGTTGAATCTACCAAATTTTCAATGCTCGCCGTCAGACATCGATTTGACCTGATTACTGAATTCCAATGACTGCTTAATTTGGATTTTGTTGCACTTCGGTTCAGATATAACTTTCGGATGACGGTGAAGCGTACTGAATATATCGACAGGATACTTTCGGCCAACCTTATCACTTCAGTTTAACTTCAATCTTGTCAAACTCGTCATTGGAATCATCCGACTCTCGTTCTTGGTTGATAACGCAATTTTGATGACTTCTTTACTGGGTGCCTCTGAACGTTGCTGGACGCGCGTTCAAATTCCGCTGCGTATTGTAATAACAATGGAATTTTCCGCACGTAGCCGGCAATTTCCTGTCGCAATCAAGTGGACCTATCCCGGTATCATCATATTTTGCAAACATCTGCTCGAACTTTTATCCAGAAGCGTTAATTGATCATTTCTGTTTAATATCTGAACTAGACATTGAATAATTCAGAATCGTGATTTTGTTTTCTTCATCCTTGAATGTAAATTGGCCCTCATCAAGAGTAGAACCAACTTCATCCATTGCTTCATCTCAAAAATTTGAACTGACATCACTTCTACCATCCTCTCTCATCATCATCATAGTAGCTATCTTCTTCTATCAGAACATTCAGCATTATTAAATCCATAAAATCATCTTCTAATTCATTGTCAGGATCATCATAATTGAAATCTTCATCCATAGCAGCTATAATATCAGGATCTAAGTCTTTTAATCTCCATGACTAGAAGAAAGGCCTTGTTCAGTAAACCTACATCTTCTTCCAACTGTTGATGTTACCGAACTTGGCAATGTTAGTTTTATCTTTTCCTTTTTCTTGCCATCTTTGTTGCTGGGTTCCTGTAGAACACCAACAACATGTGGATTGCTTTCTTTTAAATGTTGTAAATAGCTGTAATCATCATCGTTAAATATGCCACCATGTCTCTCTTGGCTTGTTTGCCTTCGTTGGGTTGTATACACCGGTAGTAAGACTCTTTTGTGGGCTGTTTCGTTCGCTGTGGTAGTCTTGTTGACTTCTTCTGTGGACAAGGTGAAGGTGACTGCGTTCTTTTGTCGATGAACTTCTTTTAGCTGGAAAATTACCAAAATATGGAATGTAATAAAATGTCATAACCTATAAATTTATTTATTTGTTTATAAAATGTTTTAAAGATGATAAATATCATGTAAAAGTAAATAAATTGTTTATGTAATATTTACAACTACCATGTTTAATATTTACTATTAAGCACGTTTAGGGGTCATTGTAGACTAGTTTTAACCAAAAACACAATAACCATGTGTTCAACTGTACTGTTTGACAGAAAATGACAGTCGTGACATTGGCAATACAAGAATAATCTTAGGTTAACGTCATTTTGACAACTGCGCATTTAAAACTTTTTGTAATGAAAATAAAAATGAAACGAATCGAATAACAAAAATATATATTTAAAAGAAAAAATAAAACATTATTTAAATATTTGATTATAAATATTGATTATAAAATTCATAGAATAATTTCTGTTTTTGAAGCTGCGACTTAGTTCTTTGTTTACAGTACAATGGTGTTCAGCAAAACCATTTCAGATGGTACAGACACTGAACAACCTTGTAAAATATAAAACAATATTGGGCTTATTTATTTTACTCAATTTTAAAACTTGAATATTTAGTCGGGGCTAAAATTGACGGATTTAAACGCCCATTTTCATTGAAAAGCGGAGGATTTTCCATTTTGCAAACGGTTTATTCGGATCAGATCAGACGGGGTTCCCTATCCTTGCCCATCGTCCAACATGAGAATTCTGCCTGATTATACTAGGCGTAAAAATCAAGCTGTGGTCCCTCGATGGTCGCCTTAGCCAAAACAATGCTTTCCCGGATGCGCACACCCGGCCCGATTGTGACTTCCGGTCCGATGCTGACATTTGGTCCCAACTAAAGATAAATTAGTGTACAATATACCAATAATTTATGCACAAAAAACTTACAACAGCTGTAGGATGAATAGTTGCACTTGGATGAACATAAACACGTTAATAATTCGACATTTCTGCACTTTGATTATCCCCAGCTGCTGATAGAATACTCTGCGACAATCTCTCTCCGGCTTTCTAGCCCCGTGCCAACCTATACGTTTTGGTTTTATGCAATTGGCTGCGCCGGCGGTCTTCACCAGACCAATTAAATTTGTGCCAGTCTGGAAAGCAAATAGTTTTCCAGTTGCGGCCAAAGGAGCAAAACTTTGTTCAAGTTGAATGTAACCAGCCTCTCTAGCCTGCTAAGCATTGCTGTTTCCATTACCATTACCTTTCAAGTAATCGTCTTGCTTCATGTGGAATATCTCGCCGATAATTTGGAAGATATCCACTGAAAAGCAATAAGTTCCACAGTTGATCAACGCGGAAACATATGAGCTCGGTTTTTCGACGTAGTGTCTAACTTCGGAGGTAGATTTATCTGTGACCATGCAACCGTAATTGAGAGATTGTTGGCGAGTTGCCTCCGTGGTTAAAATTGTTGCGATGCATGCAGGGCCGCTATGTTTGTGGAACTTGTACAGATCCACCAACGGAAAATCTGCACATACATCACCATTCATAACGAAAAACGCAGAGGGATTACCAAGACGAATTTGGTCCCTGAAGTGGTAAATTCCACCTGCTGTTCCAAGTGCAGTAAATTCTTGGAGATATCTATGAAAATAACAAAATTTTGAGTTAAATATTAAATATAATATTAAATATAAAATGAAATATAAAATGAAATATTAAATTTAATATTAAATATAAAATGAAATATTAAATATAATATTTTAACTATGAAATAATTTACCTAATATTAACATGGTACTGATTTTGCATGTCATTAATAAAACCTTGAATTTGTGTGATGGGATAATAGCCAATCAACAATATTTCTTGTAAACCTTCAACTGATGTGCATGCTTCAATGTGATGCTGAATTACTGGCAATCCAGCAACAGGAAACAATGGTTTAGGTATGTCTAAAGACAAAGGCCTAAATCGTGTCCCTACAACATCCAAAGATATAATTATTTAAATAATCTTTTTAAAATTGTAGGGAATATACCTTTTTGTGAGCCACCAATCAAAATCACGGCTTTTAAAAGCACCATATTGTACGTTTTTGTGCTAAAGTGCGGGATAGAGCTTATTCAGCGTTGTGTAAAGTGTGTTATGGCTCTTATCTTTGTTGGACACGTCCCTGCCGGTGATAAACAACAGTGTTATATGCAATATTCAGTTTGTTTGGTTCATTTTGACGTTTGGGAAGGCGCGACGTGTTTAGACAACGCCGGGATGCGGATCATATAAATCTGTGGAAATGGCTTATATTGCCGAGGTGTATTTTGGGTTGCCTATGATAATTGTCAAAACTGTTAGCGTAAAGTTTTTATAATATCTTTCTCTCAATATTAATTTTATATTATGTATTGTAAGATGTATTTACTCAGAAATCAGTGTTTTATTCTATAAAACTTTCAATTAACTTGTATAACACTTGATTACATGCATTTCCACCCAACATTACTGCGTAATTCAGGTTTATATTCAATTTACGGCCGCGCCGTAATGAACGGTGATAAGCAACCGGTTGTTTGGTTTGCCTCCTTTCACTCTGCTGACATTCTCTTTATCTGCGCAGCGGCGAGGACCATGCGGTGAGGAACGAAAGTATTAAGGAAGTACTTATTCCTGTTTTCGTTTTGTTTAATCTTGTGTCCCATGCATTTCAGTACTTCGCTTTTTCTCGGTACAAAAAGAATGTAAACGCGCGAATAAAACTGTATGGGCCCAAAGGGTGAGAACTTCATTACGTCGGGAATGAAGCCGCGGACATACACTGAAAACTTTATTGATATACCAGCATATTTATATTTTATAGTGCAAACTGCTAATTCAGTTATAAGTAACAAAACGTAAAATAGAGAATAAATATACCACCTCATAGACGACCGATGCACTATAAAATTATATTGGTAAGTACTGAAAGATATCTAATTTATAATCCTTTAACATTTAACGTGTAAATATTCGTACACCGCATGGTTTCATATTCCATATTTTAATTTACCGACGAATTTGTTTTGCTTAATTCGTTTACAATGTACGTAATCTTATGTCGTGCAGCCACATGCGCAGCAAATACCCGTAACTATTATGTCACAACTACTCATAGTGCACGCAGTGTTAATAATAATAATAATAATATGTGTACGAATATGAAATCATAATTGCAGGCTCGTAAAACTTGCGATTGCCACTAATAAAACGCGTTATTTATGTGCGGCGTGTATTTGCCAACGGATTATTAAACGAAATCAAACGATTTAATGAAATAATACAGCGAAATACACTTGTTTGTTGTTAAACTCTGAGCTGTTGGAGATGCAGTTGCGTTGAGATTATCTGTGCAAATTGTTTTTAATTGCGCGTCCGATGTGATTATTTACGATCCTAGCGGGACATTAATTAGGGATTTTATTTTAATTGTAAGTGAAATATGATTTTATTGTTTATTTATTGCTTTTAACATTTTTTATTTAAATGTAAACAAAATGTGTGAGAAACTCACATCAAATTAAACAAAAATTTTATAAGAAAACAATTTTTTTTCAATTTTTGTTAAATTGTAGTAAAATATTGATTAAAATAATTTCCTGACAAATTCATGGCTTATACTTTGTTGCCAGCATCGAATGTGGGGATATTTATGAGGTACTATTGTTAATATGGCGTTGAGTGCAGATCTATTGTGAGTTTTATGTATAAAAGTATCATTAGCGTGTCCTTCGGGCTGTAGTTCCGTTTGGTCGTTTCAGACTAGTTGCACTTTTTCGATTCAGGCAATTAAATTAAAATAATGCGACGAATCGTCAATCGGCCATTGTTAACGATCTTATCACGCATACTAAACAAATTAACAGTGATTTTATTCTTTTAAACAACTTATTTTATAGGTTAAATATAAAATAATTTCCATTATGGCGAATTATTGTATTTATAGGTTAGAATACATTAAATAATATTACATATCTTGATTCTAAAGGTTAAATTTATCATTCAGATGCATAATTATAACATTAATTATGCATTGCTATAATAATAATCAATTGCGCCTGAGTTATCGCCGTCTGGAAGCAAATTGATTACCGCAATCAGTGAACAGGTTGTTTAGAAGGTAACCAAAGTGAATAATGACTATAACTTCCACTAATCATCGATTATCTCCATAATCTATCAACATGCTAATGAAAAATTAATCCGGGCGCGCATTAGTTCATTTTAATTCGCATTAAATCATATCATTTCGCATTAATTGAGACTTTTAAGTCTAACGAGCTGGTATTTGCATAATCGTAATGTTTATAATAATCGTAGTGAAAGATTGCTTCTGCGCGACGCTTGCTGATTGGAAAATAAACAATCGCCCATGAGCCGCCTGTGTGAGGTGACGAGTGCTGCGCGATTGGTCGATGTTATGATGGTAATGATGCTATCCATGCTATCCTTGGATGTGCACAGTCGTAATTTGAATATGACACGAGCGCTTAATGTCGTCGTTAATATTCCGCCCATTTCGAATGCATTTTAATTCGTGAATGTTTTATTAGCGTTGGCATTTGTGATTTGGTGGGCAGTTTCGAACAATTTCAATTTCAAGTGAAACATTTACTTGGTTTATATCAAGTGGGATTTAAAGGTTTCAAGGATTAATTAAAAGTTTAATAATAATAATAAGAACAGAATAAAAATTGGCATAAATTTGCGTTTTTAATTTAATTGAACACTTTTTCAAAGAAGTAAAAATTTTTAACAAAAACGCGAAAATTCTGTTCTTAAAAGACAATAATTTGGTTTAGAAACAAGAATAAAGCCTAAAAAGGTGTAACCAGCAAGAATTGCGTTTAAAATAAAAATATTCACAGTATTTTGACACATTAACCCTATTTTGACATTTTATGTGTGTTTGGTTGCCTACGTTGCATAAATTTAAGGTACAAGAAGCAAAACTGTCAAAATAACTGATAATATTAAATTAAAACTGAAAAAACACTGAATTTAATGAAATTTAGCATAAATAATTACAAATTTCACTATTTTAAACATGTTAATCTAACCAAGTGAACACTATGTAATAAAAGTAGGTAGTATTTTACGCGAATCAGCATTTGAATAAGCAATTAATCGAAAAACAATTCGTCATTAGTTCCATTTAATTCCCCGCGCACAGTTCGGAATTGAAATTCGATTACGACTTTATTCCGCGCTCGCGCGCTCAAATGCACAATAAATTAACGGTGCGTCAACATTTCGCCTCGCACAAATTTATGTGCATCATGTTACTGTTGTGTTACCAGTCGTTAGTTTTGCTGCACACAGTTTGATAGTATAGTTTACGGTGTGACTTAGGTAGTCATGGTAAATATGCGGATTCGAATCGCAACAAATTGCGGCGATTATCGTGCGGCGATGCGCGAAACAATTACATTAGTGGGGATCCGCGATGGGGAGGCGATGATTGGTCGAAGCCAAAGGTAGTGTGCGCGTGGCGGGAAGGTGAGAGATCCAAGAGAAGCGCGCTCGACGCTGGCTGCTTGCGAGAGACACTCGGCGCAGATCAAGAAATACGTATTTCAAAGTTGGACATCGCGAACGAAACTTATTCGAAACTTTTAAGTGAAATATTTATTAATTCTAGTGTAAATAAAATGTGATAATGTTTTATTTTATAAAAAGTGTTTTTTTCATCATAAAAATGTAAAATAATTTTTTGTAAGTTTAAAAAGGAAATAAAATAAGTTTCAAGTGTAAATTAGTGAAAAAAGCGTCAAGGATGTCAGGATTAAAGTGATTATCAGTCGAGGATGAGCGTTCGTCCAAGTGTCCAGCATGCGTGTCACCCCAAACGGCAACAGACGAGGATTCTTCCAGTTTTCGCCAATTCTAGTCACGTTTTTAGCGTTTGCCCAATTTAGGTAAAGAGATAAAAACATTTTTCTTTTCAAACAATAAATTCTACCGCGTCATGTTTAAGTAATAGCCGCAGCGAAGAATGTAATGTGAGGTAGTTAGTAGTGGATTGTAAGGTTGTAATATTTGCAGGTAGGCATGTCGTGAGTTGTTCGAACACGCGTTGTTGTGGCCTGCAGCGCGCAATCCTGCTATCATTACGCGAGCTTATATAGTCGTATTTTGCTCAATGCGATGGCCACCATTCTACGTTTATTACAATATTACGAATAGCGTCGTTGCGCCGCGTTTTATTAGAATACGTCGGACATGTCCGACATGACTTTGCAACGCTTACGAGATAATGCCTTTTCTATACGCGATTCCGTAGAAGTTAGTAATGAATTCTGAGAAAATTATTCTCACAAAAAGTTGAATCACATTTTTCTTATTTTTCTCAAAACATAAAGAAGAACAATTTTTTTAATTAGAATTATTATTTAAAAACGTTTTTTGAACTATAAAATAATTTTGTTTCATTATTTTCATTTGAAATTTTTTTTACTTTTGATTGATTTTAATTTGAAACATCAATTGCTAGTATTAAATGCCGAGTGTAAGGTGATGAGTTGAAGACGATAGTCCGTTGAGCTGGAAAGACCGAAGTTCAAAGCTAATGCTTATTTAGCGGCTTTCATTGCTTCGGTGAAGTGATATCGTTGAAAAATCGGAGATCGACGTCCACGGCTGAATGGCGCTCATTTTGCCATCCACTCTTTAATCTACATTAACGATTAAGAAACTATTAAGCGCTGCAGCGCTTCGTTTGTTGCTTCAGTCGGTCTGTCCGCGTACGTGATGCGCCGATGGTTTACAAGACGATTTATTTCAAAACATTGCAACATAGAAGCGCACAAAGCAAAAATTTATTATTTTTGTGCTTTTAATTAATTGGATAAAGAGTTGAAAATTGCAGACACGAGACGAATAAATTGAATATATTTACGAGCATATCTTCTGGTTTTGAATTAGTTGGGATAGAATTTTGATTAGTTAAGGGGATAGATTACTAGAAATTTGTTTAAAAAAAATTAAAAATTGATTTTTTTAAATTTTCAAAGTTAGAAATGATATTTATATCATAAAACAAAAGTTTTACATAAAAAATATACTTTTTATTTATTTTTATGGCAATAAATTGTTAATTTATTAAATTTTAATTGTTTTAAAAAGTAAATTTGGTTAATTAAATTATTTTCCTATAAATTTTCTATAAGAATTAAAATTTAATTTGTTATTGAAATAAAATATCCCCTTAAGTACACTTAACTTAAGTACTTACTTAAGTACGTACGAATTACACCTTAGCAGTATGCGCAAGCGCACAATGAATTACGCTATCGCAATCGCAATCTCTGGCGATCTGCTAATAATTTTCTCGTCGTTGGGAAAATATTTCGGCGTGCTGTAGGCAGACACACATTATTTATGTTGCTGAGCGCACGTCCAACTTTCACTCGTCTTTGTCGCAGATGTAGAAACGTTAGAATTTTGATTCTACGAAAACTGCAACATTAATTTAAAACATAACATAATATTATCAAATAATTACTCAAAAGAAAGTTTATTATTATTTTCATATAAAATTATAGTGCATAAAGTAACATTTTACGCACTGTTGAGACAAAATATAACCTTAAAATTTTATTTACACACACCATTTGAAATCCAATAGTTAACTTAGTGTTAATTGCACGTCATTTATATTTACCCAAATATTATCATGCATTTTAAAGCCGTGTTTTAAGATTTGAATGTTTGCACATTGATTCTACGCAAACATTGCGCAGGAAACAAAGGATGTTTGCTTTTTCAGTTTATGTCGTTTGCGTTGTTGTGTTTGCACAATGCTAACGTTACGGTATACATTATTGTATCTCATAACGAAAAAAAAGTTAATAATTTGGAAAATTCATGAGTTACAAAGTTTGAGAAATAATTATGTTTAATGATTTTCGTCTCGACATCATAATTAGTAAGGGATGTGAACGCGATGCGCGAGACCACACCGCAACCACAAATCGTGTAGTGGTGCTCCAATTGACGTGACGGGTTCGAAACTGGTCGATGATTTATGAACAAATCCATGGACATGCGTCGAACGCAACATCCCTGCTGCCCTGGGGGCTGTTCACGTAAAATTACGCTGTGTGTGGCTCGAAAGGTTTGCATTTTAATTTGTAGCGAGAAATAATTAAATTGGGTAGCTATGTTTTTTGTTCTTAGCTGTAAGGGAGCGTTAGGTGCAGTGTTAATTGGGTTGCATATTTAGAAAATCACAAAAAGTGTACAAATGCGTAAAATAGGTAATTAAAGTTGCCTAACACAATAAAAACATGAAAAAAGTTAAGAAAATATAAAGAGAAGAAAATAAAAGAGTACCAATGTTATTTCAATAAAAAACACAATTAAATTTTAAAATAAGTAAATTTAATGAATATTGGTTCTTTTGAAACACTTGGTATAAAAGTTAGTTGTTTCCTTTGACATATTCGACATTACTCATTAGTTCCAACAACGTTGTTTACTCAGACCGTTTTAATGCCAGTAAATCTGAGCACTGCAGCGTGGCTGAGATACGAGCAGCGGTGGTGAATGGTCGCGAGGATGCTCGCACGAGTATTAATAATAATGAAGAAAATTGAGCTGTCGGCGTTAGCAACAGGTGGCGAAAAGCACGAGCGCCTTGCACGCGATACGCTTTGGTACTTCGTATTTCATTCACACACTTCCAACCATCGATGATTTTAATTACTTCGCTCGAAACGAACAACAAAGTAAACATAAGTTGAAAAAAAAACCAAAAACTAATCGATTAGTCAACTTTCACAAGAAAAAAATTTAATTTCCTCTCGCATTGACAGGAAAAATAATTAAATTGGGTTCCAATCTTTGGGTTAAAACAAAAGCAAACAAAGCAGAGATTTAGATTAAATTTGAAGATATAGTTTTTTTGGATTCGCTGAAGGGGACGTTTAACACTTTGAGAAATGAGAATTTATCGATGTGTTTCCGAAAATCTGAACATAAAGCACTTAAATCACGACGAGGAAAACAATAGCAGCGATTAGTTGGATGCCGATGATACTGTTCGTTAGTGGCGCAGTGGTTGTGAACCTTTTTCCGAGGGTAATTTATGTTTTTCGTTGGGGTGTGAACAAGGCGGGCGCAGCGACGATCACGTTTTGCACTTACCTTTGCTCGGATTCAAGGGTCGTTACGATTGATAACACTTTTTGTGTACAAATATTTTCATCTTACCTACTGAGTACCCTTAATATGTACACTTTTCTTACAACTTTTGTATTTTTCTGAGAATAGGTTTTGTATTATATATTATTTGTTGTTCATTTTGTATCACACAAAAAAATATAATAGGTATTTACTTACCTGAGCTACTTAAAATCTTTGAAAATGTCTACTTGTTTGTATAAACATAAAAAAACGTCTCAAGAAGATTATCTGTTTGTGTAAGATGGTATTTCCGGTTTGTCATATGGGAAAAATCCTCTATGTGTCATTAAAAGTCTTGAAAACATGAGTAAGTAATTCTTTTTAACTAAAAATGAAAAAATGCTATGTTCGGTTCGTGTACCGTACCTCAAAGCATACGGTAAATTCTTGTATCTTGCGTAAGTCTCACAGAGTCACAAATCATCGATAGATGTAATGAATAAAACAGCACTCGACGACAGGCCAACAATATAACTTTAATTGCAATTAAACTATCACTATCGCACTGTACTGTTTACAGGATTTCCATTTGCGTTTATAGCATAACCTTATTTCAACTAGTTATTCGCCAAGTGAATAATTTCAACATGCTGGGTTTTTGTGGGAAGTTTGCGCGAGTCGTGTACGGTAGATATCCGACAGACAATTAGAAATTAATCTATTAAATCAGCGAGCGTTCATAAATCATGCGCGCAATATAATCGCCGCTGCGAATGGGACTATCGGCGATAAATAACATAATCCCATACTTTGCAGCGCGCATAATTTATCGCCGGCGAGCGCATGCTGCACACGAGAGCGGCCATTTGCATAGAGCGCGCGCGCGCGCGCGCATAGCGGCGAATGTAACGATTTAATTTCTTCGCGTTTAACAACTATTTATTACTTCATTAATTGCACACCTTCGCGCGGCGCGGTGTGCGGGGCTCTCGTAAAAATCGGCAATAAATACTCGGTAATTGTCTATTTATTTGCAATGACGTGAAGTCAAGTGGAAATGAAGTGTGTTTCATTGATTGTGATGAATTATAAATCATTCTAATAAATTATATAGTTGGAAAAATTTATGTTGAATAATAGGAATCGTTTTATAAATACAGAATATTAGATTTTATTGCAATATTTGCGATAAAATGTTTTTCTTTTAAATAAAAATTGAGAAAATTCTCAATAATTTTTGTTTTAATGTTTTTTTTTTGAGTTTTTTAAGATAAATTATCAAATTTTGACCTAAAATTGTTCCTATTAAGTTAATTTTATAGTAAATGTCTCTCTTTTAAACATACTTTTAACCGAAACAATTTAAAATAAAAATTTAATTGTATTTCTATGAAATTTTCAAAAAATTCGGAAGGAAAACAAGAAAATTCAGTTAAATTTAATTAATAATTAATTTAAGACATTATTAACTGAATTTCTGTAAAATTTGTCTGCTCAACTAGTAAATACATAATTTTTAAACTTTTTTTTGTTGATTTTGCAGCTTTTATTCATAAAAACAAGAAAAATATGTCTTTTCTTTGTTTATAAACTTGTTAAACATAAGATATTTACCTTCATGCACTATATTTATGTATAACATTCATTGTGGTTTGTTAAGAAGCATGTCTACAATGTCCACTACCTACTTAACAAAACTGAACAACACTCCTGGAAAGCAAACATGCGTTGACAGCTCAATTAACTTTCCCAGCCTGTCCACCACTACTTACATAATAAACATAACTTCCAAGCCAATTTCCTACAAGATTAAGTGCGTGCTCAATGTTGATTTATGAATAGCAAAATCTCTAGCTTCCTTTTTCCTTATTTCAGGTACGTTTGTTGCATTCTGTCGCTGAACGCCGAAGTAATTTGCGCGCGAGTGTCTGGACTGACGGCAAAACAGCGCGAAATGTGTCGCACAGATCCGGATGCGATGGTTGCCATCGGGGATGGGGTCCGATTAGCTCGCCAAGAATGTCGATATCAATTCCGGCATCAACGATGGAATTGCACAGCAATTGGAAATCCGGAATCTTTTGGACACGTTGTTGTTGTTGGTAAGTTTTTTCAACTAATAAAAGATACAATAAAATCTGTTGAGAGGATAAAATCATAAACTATGCGTTAATTGACATTATCCGGTTTATATTTGACGATTCAAATTATAATTTCGATTCGACTTTTACGTTTAAGCTAGCGGATAGCGAGAAGAGACGAAAAATAAAATAAAACTTTAATGAACCACTTATAAGTTATTATAAAACCGATAAATATTCGTTGGACGATGCATTCCCAACCACGGAATATTTTTCTTATAGATGTATTTAAGAAACAAATGATGACCGCCTCAGGTTGTATTTTAATCAATCAAAAGAGAAAAGAAAAAATTCAGAGAATTATTTGTTGCTCTTTGAGATTAAAAAAAAACTTAATTTGTTTTTATATTGGCTGCATTCATCGATTGGAAATACGTCGCGCAATAAAAATTAATAACGCAATAAAATTAATTAAAAACGTGACGCCTCTCCTTCGCGTCGATCGCACGACACGATCACCGGGCCCCAGAATTTATTCTTTTGTGCGCTGAATTTCGTTCCCATGGCTCGCAATAATAAAGGATTGTCGTCTTCTCGCAATCGGGCGGGCTGGGCAGGTTCGGGACGCAATTATCCGCGGATCGAACGCAAAAAGTTGTAGGTGTTGACGTACTGCGTGTACGTGCTGCACGCGGCGCGCGAACAAAGCGAAACAATTACTCGGCGCACGAAAACGTCGCGCGTGGGACTTCCACTCGTTTTGTTTGCGCAAATGATGATCATGCGGCGCTGATAACAACATCACTCGAATCTGTCTTACTCAAATGGGCACTTGTTACTACACCAGCCAATAATCATAAATTACTTACTACTTTTCTACATTTCTACATATAAGTGAATACAGTAGCTGTTTTTCTTCTTTAATTTTGAGGTTAGGTTGTTTATGCGTTTGAAACTTTCCCATGGGTTGTCATGGCTTGTGTTTTGCTGGCGTTTGATCTTTTCGCTTAGATTTAGTCATTGCTTATTCACTGCACGTACTCATCTTCCTCTTCTCTCGACGCGGGCGCAAGGTTTTAACCATGTTTGGCGATATTAACAAACCGCTTCGTTGCCTACCTGTCTTTTCCTGTCAGCTTCACATACATCTCTTGTGAGTGCATGCACACAACATCAACGCCATCTGGATTAAACATCTGGAAGTTATTTTTAAGGTTATTTTGCTGTACGAGTTGTAAAAACAATAATTTATGCTTTTTTCATTGTTTTTTTCAACGCCACACGTATTCTAAGCAATTTCTAAACATTCAGCTCGTGAAGATAGATAACGAGATGTCAGCATATAAATGGGAATGGAAATTGCGCGCCGCTACTTTTTGCGGCAAGTAATAGTGCGCGAGAGGTCGTAAATATTAACAAGCGTGCTTTCAACAGAAGGCCCATTACACGGCGTTTATTTAATAAATAATAAATCTGAATATGATGCCCGCCGATGTTGATGCATTAAGTAAAGCAAATAATTTCATCGACTGCATCAGGAATTCAGTAAATTCAGTTCAGTTGATTTTATTTTTATTTTTATTTTTGTAAAGTCGAGATGAATAGAATTCTTGTCTGTTCTTTCGCTGAAGAAGAACCAGAATCTCCAGAATCCTTCGACCGCCGTTGCGCCGCTTCGCCGACTCGTTGCGATAACGTTAATTACCTTTTCCAGCCTGCGTTTCATTAGCGTATTAACGTATTTATAAGTTTGTTGATATTCTCGAGATGCTTCGCGACGGTTTTTGTCTCCAATCTCTACCGGCCATAAAGTGGATATATATGAAGTTCTTCAACCAGCCAGAGCTCGGTTTTATCGAAATGCAGCATGAAATGAAGCCAGTTGAAGCAGAAATGTTAAATGAATGTTAAAAATTGCTTGTTTTTTTCGTTCGTTTTTTAAATATCAGCAAATTAAAATATCAGACATTCTCCAATAATTAATTTTAAGTAAGTAATAAACCAAGTGTCTTGAAATAATACTTTTTTACAAATTTGTTGAAAATATTTAATTTTTATTTGAAACTTAATAAAAATGTAAAATTGTTTGATTGGAATTTGTATTAAATATGTGATGGAAGCATGAACATCTTTTTTGAGACATTATAAGAGAAAAAAGCTTATAAATATGCTAATTTTGTGTAAATAAACTCACATTCGATTTAGGAATACATATAAAACTTGATATAAGGTGATATCTTGGTGATGTGGATTCACCTGAGCGTGTGGGTGATGTCGATGCATAATACGACATTTATTCACTGAATTTAATAATCGTTAATAGACTAAATGTGTACTTTACATACCAAAATTTAAAATACTTTCTATAAATGTCCTAAAAGTTGAAAATCGTTGAAAATCGTGAAATATATAACTAAATACACCGAATGCTACAAAATATTTGTGTTTTGAACAAGATGGCGTCATCTTATTGTGAATCATTGTCCATTGTCTGTCAACATGCTGTCAATTTGCATGTTTCGCTTGTTTTCGATCGTGTACGATGCGACACAACTTGAAACGTGAATATTTTAGTAACTATAACCTAAAACATTAATTTTACCGTACACTCTGTATAATTTATTCTATACATATTCAAATTTACACTTCAATATTTTTTCTAACGCCAAGGAAACTCTCAAAGTGGTAAACGATTCCCGTAATCACAAGACGATTGGCGATTTTATGGATCGTCCATTATTCGTGTAATGACAGCGTGGGCGCAGGCGAACGATAAACGGTGGCACCAGTGGCACTTCATCGCTATGCGCCGGAATGAATATTCCGACTCGATACTGAATTTGTCCAAGCATCTCGGACTCGTCCTTAGCGCGTATGCGCGCGCGCGTGCAACTTAATCTGCGCTGCTGGCTCACGGCTGCACAAAGCACGCACTTAACTTAAGTAGACAAGATTAATCGATGGTAATTCGTTGCGTTTTCAAACTAGCAACTATTCTAAAATGCTTAAAATACTCTAAAAAATATACCAACTTAATTTAAAGTTTTCGAGGTTATACTTACTTATACTTAATTAAGTTGTTGGTAATTTCTTAAAATAACGATTTTTTAGTCCTTTTTTGGTGGTGCCGAGGCGAGTTTAAGTTGAAAGTGACAGTTATGGTGCATTAATAAGTCGGATAAATAATGATCTTACAAAATAAGATTCGTTTTACATTCTCGGGTGCGCTCAGAGCAGATTATTGTGTTATTCGAGAAGCTTATAATCTTGCGACGTGCAATAAACTATCGAATTAAAATAAAATACGCGCATAACCTACTCGAGAGTTAAAAAATCCCCCGCTGGAGGTCGCTGCAGTCACAGATGTTATGTTTTCACAAAATTCGTTCTGCTTTCATCAATTTATTACGAACTTAAAATATCTCATTATAAATTTAATTATCTCCGCAATGTTCCATCACATGAAAACGATGCGACGTGCCCAGAATGCATTACAGCCGGATTCGTAATGGATTGTTGTGAACACAATGGCGGCTTTTTTTCTACACGCACCGCGTTTGAGAGACGAACAGACGTCAAAAAAGCGACTTTTATCGAAACAATATCTTCGGATGAAACTTTTCAACGGGATCGTCTATCGTATAATTTCTAGATTCAGCGAGGCGGCGTGCCCTTTGTGCGACCGAGACAATTCGAAGGCGTGAAGGCCTGCGTCGCATACGAAATAAGCTGCGCGATTGTGGCGCTTGTCTCGGACTTTCGCACTCGATGCGCGTCCGCTCATGAACACGCGCGACACGGCATATTAATGTTAATGATCGGTTATCAAACACTTCACCGCCGCGCACATTTATCACATTTATGCAAAGATGCAGCTAATGGCGTCTTATTATCATATTCATATAAATTTTATATGAAGATTTCAACTTGTAGGTGTCAGAATAGTCGGGTGAATCAAGAAAAACAAAACAAAATTGCGTTGATTTATTAATATTATATTTTATTAAAGGTTCAAGAGAAGCAGCTTTCACCTACGCGATACACAGCGCAGGGGTGACCTACGCCATTACAGCCGCATGCGCACGAGGTAACATCTCCACCTGCGGATGTGCAACAGGTCCACGCCCTCGGGAACCCACCCCTGCTGGATGGAAGTGGTCGGGGTGTAGTGTAGACGTTGCATTTGGGATGCGTTTTGCGCGGAAATTCCTCGATGCCAGGGAACTTGAAGGCGACGAGCGGTCTCTCATGAATTTACACAATAACAAAGCTGGTCGTAAGGTTAGTATTAATATGTGTTATATATGCAACCAATTGTACATTAATTTGTGTTGTATGTTTAAATAGGCGATTAAATTGAATCTCATCACCGAATGTAAATGCCATGGTGTATCTGGCAGTTGTACGATGAAAACCTGCTGGAAATCTTTACCACCATTCCGCCATATTGGTGATAATTTAATGAAAAAGTATTATCGCGCACGGTCGGTAGCCACCATGACAGCACAACCTCAACTTACATTACACAAACGTCTAGCTCCGATTAGACCTCAAGATTTACTCACAACCACTGGTAAAATTCATCTAGTGCTTAAAAAAGGCAGAATTCCCACGAAAAAAACGTCCAAAACAAACAGATTTAGTATTTTTACAATCATCTCCGAATTATTGTGAGAAAGATCTGGCGTCTGGTTCACTCGGAACCTACGGCAGGAATTGCAATAGAACTTCACAAGGTAAACTCGCTAACAACGCTTATCTCTATGATATTTAAATTAATTTCCAATTTCAGGTCACGACGGTTGTAATCTCATGTGTTGTGGACGAGGATACAACACGCACCAGTTCAATAGACAGTGGCAGTGCAATTGCAAGTTTCACTGGTGCTGCCAGGTGCAATGCGACACGTGCAGCGAACGAGTAGAAGAATACACCTGTAAATAGCGTTGCCATGTTGGCGACACCCTGTAGAAGGAATTACTTATATGCATATTTTTATACGTCTATTATTCGTTTCAAGTCTGAACGCGAGGAATACTCATTTAATGATATAATTTATTGCGGTAGTGTCAACATGTAAATAGTTTAATTATTAGTAACGGATTAATTCATTTCTAACGCTAATGAACGGAATGCTGAGACGGTTTGATTAATTACCATCATTGAAGTAATTGCACATATTAATATCAAAGTGGAATAAAAATGATTAATACCGACATGTTTTATTTACATGAGAAGTATTCTTGGTTGCATATAGTATTTAAGTGGATAATGTTGATATACTTGAGATTATTTCTTATTGTTGACCTTCAGTAATCTTATATGTCTTTATTTATTTATGAAAACATGAGATAACCGCTTAAAAATTTAGTTGAGTTACATACAGCTGACGAACAAGTGTTTTAGGTTGTAATAATGTTTTGGGTTTTGTTTTTCGTGGCTGCTGTGTTATTCTTTTATTATGTTCTTATTAAACCTCAACTATACTGGAAGGAAAGAAATGTCCCTCAAGGACCACCGTATCCTATACTGGGTGACCGCTTTAGATCGTTTTTGAGGCTGGAAACTACAACTGAAATGATTCAAAATGCTTACAATCGTCACCAACATAGCCGGTAAATTAATTATTATAAAGTTTAATTCATTGATAAATTTATTATTGTAGATATGTTGGAACGTATCAAGGAACTCTGCCAGCGTTAATGTTGCGGGATCCAGAATTAATCAAACAAATTACCGTCAAAGATTTTGACCATTTTGTTAATCATCGACCGTTCGTCTCTGCGAAACAGGAGCCATTATGGAACCGAAATTTACTTTCGCTGAAAAACGAAGAATGGAAGACAATGCGCGCAACTTTAAGCCCGACTTTTACTTCCATCAAAATGCGGGCGATGTTTTCTCTGATGCAACAAACTGCACAACAATTTGTTGATTTTTACCTTAAACAAAACAAAGATATTCTGGAATTGGAGCTAAAAGATTCATTTACTCGTTTTGCTAGTGATGTTATCGGTAATTGCGCGTTTGGTGTGACGGTAGATTCACTGAAAGAACCAGAGAATGAGTTTTATATGAAGGGGAAAGATGTTACTAATTTTGCAGGTTTCCGGAGAATTTTAACGTTTACCTTAAGTTTGATTGCGCCACGGGTTGCATATGTAGGTTTTTCCTTAATATTTATTACTTATTTTTATTTTATGTTGTTAATAATATCAAACTTTGCAGTTTTTGGGATTACGTGTGTTTAGTGAATCTTCCACTGCTTTTTTCAAAACGTTGGTTAAAGATACTGTGAAGGTGCGTGAGGAACAGAAAATTCAACGTCCTGACATGATCCACCTCTTGATGGAAGCTCGTAAAGGTCAATTGAAATATGAAGAGTCCAACGAACAAAATGAAACAGGATTCTCAACCGTAGAAGAATCTGAAATCGGTAAAAATACTAATCGACCAAAGATTGTAATGAATGATGACGACATGGCCGCGCAAGTATTTATCTTTTTCTTTGGTGGTTTTGATACTATTTCCACCATGATGTCATTTATGTGCTATGAGTTGGCTGTCAATCCTGATATTCAAAAGAAGCTTATTCAGGAAATTGACGTCACTTCGAAACAAAACAACGGAAAACTTACTTACGATGTTTTGAACAAAATGAAGTATATGGATATGGTAGTAACTGAGAATTTAAGAAAGAATCCGCCATTTTCTTTGACAAATCGAGAATGTACCAGACCGTATATTATTCAACCGGAAAGACCTGGCGAGGTTCCTGTTCATCTAGAAGAAGGCGCTTTACTGCTGTTGCCTCTTGCAGGAATTCAACACGATGAGAATTACTTTCCGAATCCGAGTAGATTTGATCCTGAACGCTTCTCGGATGAGAATAAAGATAAAATTGTGCCATATTCTTACATTCCATTTGGGGCCGGACCAAGAAATTGCATTGCATCTAGATTTGCGTTGATGGAATGCAAAACGTTAATGTTCTACATCTTGAGTAATTTTGAAGTTGTTGTTATTAGCAAAACAACAATTCCGATGAAGTTGGCCAAAGGTCAGATTACTCCGGCACTTGAGGGTGGATTTTGGCTTGGTCTTCAACGACGTAAAAATGTTACTACTTTTTAATTAAATAACTACAAAAATAACAATTTACGCGTTTTTTTAATTTCAAGACTCGAGACTCATATTGTGCTCATATGTTCATAAGTATATAATTTTTTTTAATTTTATCAGGATTCACATGTTTTGAGACAAGATCTACAGTCTCTCGAGACACACGATTTGGAAAAATTGGATTAAACTGATAAGTTATGGTATTGTTTATTTGAGGACCATTATGTATCACTATCGTTTTCGCCAACATATGTAATTAGAAGTATGTTTACAAATAGCGGTTCATGGCCTTGCTTGAATATTGATGTCTCATTATATATCGATTAAATTTTGTTAAGTCATTCGCCTGTGATTCAGCATAAATGCAAGTAGACGTAAATATCACGCAAATAATTAGATTAAATGACCGTATTTTTCATCTCCACTTGAATTTCAAGCATCTGACTTGTTATATAAAGTTGAATAATTGACAACATACTTTAGTATAATTTAAAACACGCTCCGAATTAGTTATATAGAACCGATACAATGTTTTGGGTGTTAATATTTGTGGCATCAGTATTGCTGTTTTATTATTTCCTAATAAAACCTCAACTGTACTGGAAAAAACAAAATGTCCCCCAAGGATTTCCATACCCGCTTTTGGGTGAAAACTTTAAATCATTCGTGGGATTGGAGACTACCACAGAAATGATTCAGAATATTTACAACAGTTACAAAAACAGACGGTAATTTCATTAAAATCATTTCACTTGTCATCAAATTCTAAGACATTTTTATTCACAGATATGTTGGAATGTATCAAGGAACTCTACCGACGTTAATGTTGCGTGATCCAGAATTAATTAAACAGGTCACTGTGAAAGACTTTGATCACTTTGTTAATCACAGGCCCATTGTTTCGGAGAATCAAGATCCTGTGTGGAATCGCAATTTGCTTTCTTTACAAGATGAGCACTGGAGAATAATGCGCGCGACACTGAGCCCGACCTTTACCTCCAGCAAAATGCGTGCCATGTTTAAACTTATGGAACAAACTGCACAACAATATGTTAATTTCTATCTGGAACAAAAGAAAAACACTATAGAATTGGAGGTGAAGGATTCGTTGACACGTTTTGCTAACGATGTGATTGGAAATTGTGCGTTTGGTGTGAATGTAGACTCACTTAAACAACCAGAAAATGAATTCTATTTGAAAGGGCAAGATGCTACTGATTTTGCCGGATTCTTGAAATCGCTAAAGTTTCTCATTAACTTTATTTCGCCTACTTTTGCTGATGTGAGTAGGATATATTTAAAAACCAATTTTAATATAATTTAACATTCCTTACAGTTTTTCAGAATACGTTTGTTCAATAAATCTACAACAGAGTATTTCAAAACCTTAGTTCGGGATACTGTAAATTATCGTGAAGAGAAAAAGATTCATCGACCTGACATGATTAATCTCTTGATGGAAGCACGTAAAGGAACATTAAAATACGAGGAATCTAACAATCAAAAAGAGGCAGGATTCTCATCTGTTGAAGAATCTAGTATTGGTAAAGACACCAAAACAACGAATATTGGCATGAGTGATGAAGATATGGCTGCGCAAGTCTTCATCTTTTTCTTTGGTGGTTTTGACACTGTTTCCACATTGATGTCATTCATGTGTTATGAGTTGGCCACCAATCCTGATGTTCAGAAGAAGTTGATTGAGGAAATCGACGAGACATTCAAAGAAAACGATGGAAAATTAACTTATGACGTGCTGAATAAAATGAAATACATGGATATGGTTGTCACAGAGACTTTGAGGAAAAATCCTCCGTTTATTTCGACTGATAGAGTGTGCACTAGGCCATACACTATTAAACCAGTAAATGCTGACGAGGAGCCGGTGCATTTAAGAGTAGGTGATATTGTCCTTTTGCCGATGTCTGGTATTCATCATGATGAGGAGTATTTTCCTAATCCCAGCAAGTTTGATCCAGAACGATTTTCGGAGGAAAACAAGGACCAGATTGTACCTTATTCTTACATTCCATTTGGAGCGGGACCTAGAAATTGTATTGCGTCTAGGTTTGCTTTGATGGAGTGTAAAACATTGATGTTCCATATCTTGAATAATTTTGAGATAACTGTTATTAAGAAGACTACGATTCCAATGAAGCTTGAAAAGTATCAATTCAATCCGGGGCTTGAAGGTGGTTTCTGGCTGGGGTATCAGCGACGCCAGCAAATCAGATAAATTTGATTTTTAATTCGGAGGACAACATAGTTAAACTATGAAAAATATTGGCGCAATACCAAATTTGTAATTTTATAAGAAGAATATTTTTTTTGAATAAAGTACTATGTACTTAAATCAACTTAACAACATGAAAGTATTTCATTCTCTGTGTTTCTAAGATTGTATTGTTACTAGTTTTTAAATGGAGATGGCGCTGCGATGCACTATCTGAAATTTTATGTATTCCTCAGCTAACAGCTTGTAGATTCGCTAGGGTTATGTACAGTTGTGTTTATTTACTTCATAAGGTTGTGTGATACACAAATATCGTGTTGTGTCAGGTTTTATAGCACAACAAGTGCAATTTCTGATCACAATTTGGCTAAAATGGAGCCTCAAGTGAATCCATATCGAAAAATGTTAGTGGCAGGAGTATCCACTATTTTATTAGAGCTTGGGATTGATACTGCAGAAGGTGAAGTCTTAGAAACATTAACAGAAATGTTTCAGTGTTGTAAGTTTTCAAAAGAACTTTGTATTAAGCAAACCACTAATTTCTGTACATATTTATTAGTTCTAGTTGAAATTGGGAACACTAGTAGGAACTACTATGAGTTATCAGGAAGAACAGAACCTTTAATTGCAGATGTTATATTGGGTTTTGTTGAAATGGGTGAGTTACACTGCAAATTACTATTTGCAATTGATAGTGATCATATTGATTTGTGTTCTTATAGGTATTGATTTCTCAAAATTAAGTGACTTTGCAAAGGGTACTAAGAGGACAGTTTTGCCATCACTTCAAGCACAAACACAGCCAAAACAATTGAATATGTTAAGAGCTGGAGTAAAACAATCTCTTCCAAGTTTTATTCCATCTCATTTACCGTCCTTTCCAGATCCACATGCATATATCAGGACACCAGTAAGTTCACATTTGTTAACTCAAACATTTACTCTAAAAATGTAATTTTAGACACATAAACAACCTGTAATTGATTATGAGGCTATAAGAGAAAAATATGCAGTTCAGAAAAGAGATGTAGAGAAAGCATTGACTAAGTTCTTGGCAAAAACAAGTCAAACACATAATTTATTTGAGAATGATGAAATCATGTTCCCATGTAAGTTTATAGATATTTAATAAGTGTTCAATTTAATCTTTAATTATAAATGTTTTAGTGATCTCTGTTAAACCATTGGCAGCTCTGCGTTCCTGCTATGCAATACGTAATACAATATTTCACAACGTTTCATCGGTAAGTGCAACTAAACGTAGATAAGTAATTTATTTAAAGGTTTATAAATAAATATCAAACTTCAAGTATCTGGTGAGTGATATATATTTGTGGATAACTGTTAGTTTGCGCTGAAACGCTTCACAACTCTGTTTCAGATTTAATACAATGTTTTGGTTTGTGTTTCTTGTGGGAGCAGCATTGCTGGCTTATTATTACATTATAAAACCTCAACAATTTTGGAAACAACGAAATGTTCCACAAGGTTTTACCTATCCGATACTTGGTGACAACTTCAAACTATTGTGTGGATTGGAAACTTCCACTGAGATGACTCAAAACGCCTACAATCGCTTTAAAAACAGTCGGTGAGTTTTAAAATTACGTTTTTTTTAATAAAATGTAAATATTGACAAAATCTTTTTGGGTCCTAGCTACGTTGGAATACATCAAGGAAACCGACCGGCGTTAATGTTGCGTGATCCTGAATTGATCAAACAAGTTACTGTCAAAGACTTTGATCATTTTGTTAATCACAGATCTATTGTTTCGGAGAAACAAGAGCCATTATGGAATCGTAATTTACTTTCGTTGCAAGGCGATGAATGGAAAAAAATGCGTGCAACCTTGAGCCCGGCGTTTACCTCCAGCAAAATGCGTGCTATGTTTTCGCTTATGGAACAGAACGCGCGACAATTTGTTAATTTTTATTTAGAGCAGAATAAAGATATCATTGAACTGGAGATGAAAGATGCTTTTACACGTTATGCTAATGATGTTATTGGGAATTGCGCGTTTGGTGTGACTGTAGACTCACTTAAAGAACCAGAAAACGAGTTTTATATGCGAGGAAAGGCTGCTACTACTTTTAAAGGTTTCTGGTCGATGGCAAAACTTACTCTCAACTTTATTTCACCTGCGTTTACCGATGTAAGTTGATAATTATAAGTTTACATTAAGAATATATTCATTTCTGGATTGCAGTTTCTTGGAATACATTTATTCGATAAAGACGCCACAAATTACTTCCAAAACTTAGTTCGAGAAACTGTCAATTATCGTGTGGAGAAGAAAATCCATCGGCCAGATATGATCAACCTCTTGATTGAAGCTCGCAAGGGTAATTTGAAATATGAAGAGGTACCCGAGCAGAAAGAAGCAGGATTCTCATCAGTTGAAGAATCTAGTATTGGTAGAGGCACCACAACAAATGTTGGTATGAGTGATGAAGACATGGCCGCACAAGTTTTCATCTTTTTCTTCGCTGGTTTTGATACTATTTCCACGATGATGTCATTCATGTGCTATGAATTAGCTCTCAATCCTGATGTTCAAAAGAAGTTGATTGAGGAAATTGATGAGACATTTAAAGAAAACAATGGCAAATTAACTTATGACGTGCTGAATAAAATGAAATACATGGATATGGTTATAACAGAAAACATGAGAAAGAATCCGCCGTTTATTTCCGCAGATAGAGTGTGCACTAAAGCATACACCATTCAACCGGAAAAACCTGGTGAGAAACCAGTGCATCTTGAAGTGGGTGATATGCTTCTACTTCCAATGTCTGGTATACATCACGACGAGGAATACTTTCCTAATCCAAGCAGGTTTGATCCCGAAAGATTTTCAGAGGAAAATAAGGACCAGATTGTGCCTTATTCCTATCTTCCCTTTGGAGTGGGACCTAGAAATTGCATTGCATCTAGATTTGCGTTAATGGAATGTAAAACATTGATGTTCCACATTTTGACTAACTTTGAAATTACTGTTATTAAAAAGACAACCATTCCGATGAAATTAGCTAAGTATCAGTTCTTCCCAGCAATCGAAGGTGGTTTTTGGCTTGGTTTCCAACGTCGTCAACATTAAAGTTAATTTCATGTTTAAATTCGGCCAATAAAGTATATACCGTATGATAAGACACTGCGTCAAGGTCTAAACAGCAAACTAGCGATAATCAAGAAGACGAAGCAAAACATAAACTCAATCAAAACCAGTTTGATTCTTATCAAGAATACGCTACGCAGAGCATCAATCACGAACAATCACTTTGCAGTACTAAAACAACTAGCATAAGCATAAGACAGACATTATATTAATCTTGTATCGTGAATAAATCTATATTCATTGTTTAATTTAACTAAATACATACATACTTTTATCTAATGTGTATTAGTGTATTGTGTTTCATTTTCTATTTATTTACACACACGTGAGTTTTAATTTAACTACTATCAAAACATTTGTATAACTAAACTGATGCACAACATCAGTAGTGTGGTGCGTGCCGAAAAGATATTATCACATGTTGATTTGTAAATCAGCGGTTGAAAGAGAGACATGTCTTCCGAGTTCGTGGTCCAACCTATAACGCTCTCGTCGCGATTTTGCATTTTTAACCAGACTAGTAGTGGTTGGAAGTAGTCGAGGAGTGGATCGGCACTTAGGCGATCTTCTTTACCTTTGCTGATAATCCGGAGGACATCACGCCAGTTACGAGAACGACCCAACTTCAATGCTTCACTGTAAGTACACAATTTAATTTAACCTATGTATATTAACAGATGCAGCGACAATTGTAATGAAGTTGAGTAATGTTTTACAATCATATCACTTGCAAACATGATTTAATCGTTTTGTGCTTTAAAACTTGAAAAATCACTTAATTTACGATAAAAGAAAGAGCGGACAGCAAGAAAAGTGATTCGAACCAAAGGGTGTTGACTGCTGGACGACTCAGGCACGACCGAGTACAGTAGTCGCCGCGCGCCGCCCTTTCATACCTACACTCAACCCGCAAAAAGAAGTGGGGGCAGGTGCGCTAGGTATAAAGTGGTAGTAGCAAGCAAGGGTGCCAGCTGCGTGTACCTGCATATAATAGTAGTGGGGGTAAGCAGTAAGTTTGAATCGCTATTGGTCAACCGACTAATGAAGAAACATGATCTCATTTATAAAACAGGCGTTGCATAGCAAGGGGGCCTAGTTGGTTTTATAAATTTAGGGTTAGTTTCAAGTATAAAAGCGTAAAGTCATTAAATAACTATGCAAAACATTTTAATTTATATTTAATTCGTGCGCACTCTTAGGTAAACGTCCTGCTTCCTGAGAGCGATAAATGTCGCACGTGTGTAGTACTTGAATGTCCCGCAACGGTACACGGTGTACTTGAATTTGAAACTCAACGGTAAACCGACGTAGTACTTGGTGTAGGGTACGTCGGAAATTATATGCTTTTTGGAGGCGGCGTCTAGTTGCTTCTCGGTGCGTGGTAATGGTGGTACGACGCCTTGGTACCGCAAGCGTAGCTCCCACCATGCAGAATTCATCGTTTGAATACCGTCGCGATACACATGGAAACGCCACTAGTATTTTTATAAACATAAATTATAATAACAAAAAAAAATCATTTTGGGTGTGACTAAGTACCTGATCAACGAGTAAAGCATATGGAGCGTACGCGACTTTTTTTAATGCCATCATCATCAAGAAGTTCATGTTTAACTCATAAGTATTGGAGTTGTTTTGATGGAGGCCAATTTTTAAGAAGTGGCTTGGGTTGTACACTGATAAATCAATTGCGTTTGATATTGCTTCGTGAAAACCTTAAGTAAAAACATTTTAATCATGTAAATATAAATTTTAACCTATTTCTTGGTTACCTGGATTAGCGCCATCTCTGTATAGGAATGGTTGATCATTATACTGCATATAATATTGCGTAAGGCCATCTCATATTGAGCACTTACAGAAATTCTCCATGTTTTACTTTAGTACATTTGCTTAATTCTACAAGAAACCGCCATTTTGATTAGAATCACATCTTTTTTACACATAATACAAGCATTATACAGTTTGGTTGTACCTGTAGTCAATTTTATTGCAAAAGTCCCAAGCGCTAGCGGTACATTGTACTTTCCTATCAGTCGGTTTATCAAACAACGAATGTCTCCAAAATTCGGGTGGTAGAGGTTTCATTCCCATGGAAGTGAAAAATTCTTCAGACATTTGAAACATTCGCAATGGCGTAAATCCCTGTCGTAACATTTCATCGGTAACTTCAAGTTTTTGTACTGCTGGGTACGGCATAAGAAGTTCTGTAATTTGTGCCCAGTCTTGTCCCCAGATATTGTTTCGCGGCATCCACAAATCTAATTGTATAGATAAAAATAAATCGATTTAATTAAATGATTTATACTTGCCGTTTAATCGTGCTGCCTGATGATTTGCTAGTTGTATATAACTTGCATAGAGGTGACTGCTACATTGATGGACCAGTTTTAGTATTGCGCATTCTCTCCAGATATGTGTAAGTTCCTCAGGATTTCTGGAGTGTTACGGCCAGTGAAATACGTCTGGATCTAAGACTAAATCACAGAATCGGTTTTCCATATTGTTGAATCCTGCACGCGAATTGTTACCTGTTGTACGCTTATCTTTCGTTTCGGATATCAAGTGATGTATCTACAAGTATTTGTTGCAACACTCAGTTTAATACTCAATTTGTTGGATTGAATTAGCCTATTTTGATTTGCCTGAGTGTATAATTAAAAATTATTTGCGTTAGTTTAGTTTGTTCCATTATTTTGTTGTGTTTACATCAGAAAAGCAAAACAACTATACGTAGAATATTAATCAAATTTAACAATTAAATTGCATTCTGCCGACGCAGAATTTTTACATCATTGTCTTTAGTGTGGTTGTAAAGTATTTATTTGATTATTTTGCCTAATATAACCTCAAGCTGTCAGGCCATAGGAAAAGGTTACAGTTATAGTTGTTGAATTACACAATGATATTACCTCATTATATTTGTCATCTGGTAAACTTGCTTTACTTACTGGTGGTCACGGCCAAAGCTGTCTCCGCGCCAAATTTGGATCGGGTAATTTGAGTCAGTCGAGGTAACAGCGCGCTTCCACGATAACTTATCAAACTTTGCTTGCAACATCTGCTCGTCAATCATCCGGCGCTTGTTAAAGTCCGTCATACGGCCAGTCCGAGCACCAGGCCGTACTCACCGGAAAAGCACATATTCGACACGCGTCCATTGTATTCTCGAAGAAATTGCGGAAACTTCTCCCCAAAATTTTCATTAGTACCTGTGAAATATGGCAAATTTAAATTTTAATAAAGAAAATTTGCCTTACTAAATAAATAGTTGATACGATAATACGGTGGAAGTGACGATACTTAATTCGCCAATGCAATTGATCGTTTCGCAAACGCTCGCTCCAATTAATTTTCGAATACTTTTTCCTTCGTCTTGAGCTTTGCGCACAACTTCGAGCGCGGCGCGGGGTGCGTTACGGTATTTAAATGGCGAGAACAATAAAATGCGCGTGACGACCTCAAATTACTCGCTCGGAACACGTGCCGAAAGACACACGAACGCGATTTTAATCATTTCTATGTTGTGTTACCGCAAATCGTTGCTTAGCAAACCGTTGGGGAGTTTGGAAGTTAACAATCTGAGATTTCAACAAAACAGAAGCATTCCGAAACACACATGCACATATGTAAATTTATGCCATGTTGCCAAGTCTACATTTTTCATTTAGGGTTATAAAAATACAGAATTTGTGTTTGTTTGGTTGCGTAAAGTAGAAAATTTTACGCTTTCCAAAAAAAATCTCAAAGCCAAAACGGCCGTAATTATATACTTAATTATTTACGTTGTCGTAAATAAAGTTTTTAATTTATTTAAAAGTAAATTGTTTGATTTATAATATCTAAGTAAATTCTGAAGTCTGGTGGAAGGAAAGTTTTTGAATAAATTTCACGCTGTTGATTGTTACAAAATATTACCGCGCATATTTTTGTAATAATTACACTATGGTAAGTTAATTAATTAGTGAGTAGCGCACTGAAATCTGGCGTCGAAATGCAAACAACATGTTTCGCAACTGGCTTACAGAAAGAAACTAATCAGATGCATCAAACGCATAGTTTTCAACAAAATTTCTTCAAGTCGTAATATTTCTGTTATCTTCTTTGGTGGTTTTCTTTGGTTTGGGTAGTATAGTGCGGTGTGTAGTTTCGCGACGGCCACGAGCACTATTGCGGGCATGCGCGCGCGTCAATCCGCAGGGAGCGGACTGACATCACTTCGTGACGTGGCTTTTTGGATTAAGATTGTGTTTCGGAGGATAGCGTGACAAATTGTTTTGCAGAGATGCAATACGTTGAGCGTAACAAAGTCGCGCATCGTGCTCGAGGGCAAAACGCGCGTGCCACGGCGGTAAACAAAGAGCCACTGAAGAATGGCGATGCCGTCGAAGTCGACAGCCACTGCGGCGCGTATTCTGCGAGGCGTACACACGCACACTGGCAGGAACAACGTGGAGCAACAAGAAGTAACGAACGTTATGGTTCTTGCATTCGGCATACTACTTGTTGATGCCATTCGATCATACTTGATGTGTTTGAAATTTGCTTAAACTAACTTTTGCAATATTTTAATCATGCAAATTTCAGTGGTAGTAAAATTTTGAACAAAAAGTTAGAAATTGCCCCAAAAACAACCCTTAAAAAGAGAAATTATTTTTGCATTTGCTTCCTTTGATATATAACCTCGTTTTTCCTTAGTTGAGTTTTGAAATTAGGTTAGGTTTTTATTTTTTAGTTGTTTACTTGCAGATTTTATTATTTTCAACGTTGAAATTTCAAGATTTAAAAAATACAATCATTTTTGTCTTAAATCATGAATTTCCTTGTTTTTAAATATAAAATATTACTTTAATATAACTTTATACACATTTAAAGTCAGTAAATTATAGTTAAACTTCAAGCCAACTATGACAAAACAACAACGACAAACGCATCCAAGTAACAACAAATTATATTATCATTTATCTACCTCCTGTGTGCCGATTTAGTTTTGTTGTGTTTACCTCCGCGCTGTTTGGCTTGGGTTGACATGACTTCATTCAGTCAGTTTTAATATTATTGTGACTATGATCCGTCAAAGGACAACTGCGCAATTTCAGGCGTAAAATTATTAGAAGATTAAAATACAATTATTATAAACACAGTTAAATATGATGAGCAATTTTAATCATTTGCGGTTTTTTCGAAGTAATTGACGCCAATTATATTATTTTTGCGAAGAAGCAAATATAATATAATAACAATATACAGTTGTATAATTGATAGTTGCTTGTGTTTTG